AGGAGGAGGAAGAAGATCTCCCCGTCAACGCCGCCGGTCGCCGTTCCAGGAAGGCCGCAACAAAGCACAACAGCTACAAGGAGAGTGAAAGCGAGTCCGAGTCTGAAGAAGCTGAAGCATCCGAAGACGAGCTTTCCGAGGACCACGCCAAGCCCAAGATGAAGAAGGAATCCTTGATGATCAAGCTGAAAGTGCCCAAGAATCCGGCTTCTGCTGCACCTGTCACTAGGAGATCTACCCGCGCCCGGACAGCCGAGGTCGAGGAAGAGCATGTCGAGTTGACAAACTCGGGCAGGCACATGCAGCGTGCTTCTAAGAGTCGAAGCCCTGAAACCTTTGCTCGCACTCGCAACTCCCGCTCAGTTAAGGGACTGAAGAAGGCACCAGACACGATTGAGGAAGCAACTCAGGAGAGCAGCTTCCGTCGCGACGATGACGCCGATGCCGATGAGTTGGCCGGCGATGCAGAGCCAGTGGCTGCAGACACCGAGGAGATTGTCGATAGCAAGGATGCGGTAATGGAAGATGCCATCAAAGAATCGACCGAGGTGGATCCCGATGCTGCAGCTGATGATGACGATGAAGAGGACGAGGGTCCAATCACACGGCGAACCCGAGCCAAGAGGGGAAGTGCATCTGGACCTTCAGCTGCGGAACCTGAGGAAGACCCCAAGGAACCAACTGATGGCGATGCCCCAACACGGCGTCTCACTCGCCGAGGACTTCGAAAGTCGAAATCCCTCCAGGAGCCCAGTAGCGATTTCGAACCCGGCGAAGAGTCGGCGGAAGACGCGCACATGTCTGACGACTCGCCCACCAAGAAGAACTCCGCTGATGCTGAAGATGGCGACTTTGACAGCCCGGCCCCGCGCGGTAGAGCTGCTAAACCCAAGGGCAGATCCACTCGAAGCTCGCGCCGTGGGGCCGAGTCCGGGGATGAAGTCGAGCTAGACCATGACGAGCTTGCCGAGGAGCTCCACGAACTTCGACAAGACTCACGCTCTCGCCGCACAAGGCGACCTTCACCCGCAATCATCTACCAAGAAACGGCGTCGAAGCGTCGCAGAGCCGCAGCAAAGCCAATGAATTACTTCATGCCTCCTCTTTCCGCCGTAAACATAGAGGAAGACGATGGTGAGGACCCCGCCCCGACCCCTGCACGGCGCCGTAACGGACGTGGAGGCGCCAGTCAAGCATGGGACCGCGCCCTCAACACGACTTTTGGTCCCTTCGGAGGCGGAGGCGGTGCCGGCTCCATTCTCGCTGGACCTTGGGGCACCGGCGCTGCTGGAGGTGTCGACTCCGACAGCAGTGACGATGAAATGGGTGGACGTTCTGGCGCCGCTGGTAACGTTGGCATGACTCCCACGTCGGCTGCAGCCCCAGGTGGCCTGCTCCCTGGTCTCGCGCAGCCTGTGGGTGGCGAAGGTGCTGGTGTCGGCGCAACGCCCAACGTCGGCAAGGTTAAAAACACAAAGGCCCTCGCTGATGCCGATCCTCTTGGTGTCGACCTTAACGTGGATTTCAACCAAGTTGGTGGTCTCCAAGGTCACATCGACCAGCTGAAGGAGATGGTTCAGTTACCTCTCCTGTACCCCGAGCTCTTCCAAAAGTTCCATGTCACACCCCCACGAGGTGTTCTCTTCCACGGTCCTCCCGGTACCGGTAAAACTCTTCTCGCCCGTGCCCTTGCCAACTCTGTTGGTATTGGTGGCCGCAAGATCACCTTCTACATGCGCAAGGGAGCCGATGCCCTGAGCAAGTGGGTTGGTGAAGCCGAGAAGCAGCTGCGGCTGTTGTTTGAGGAAGCTAGACGAACGCAACCAAGTATCATCTTCTTCGACGAAATCGATGGTCTGGCTCCAGTACGTTCTAGTAAACAGGAGCAGATTCACGCGTCGATCGTGTCAACGCTTCTGGCACTGATGGATGGCATGGATGGCCGTGGACAGGTCATCGTCATCGGAGCAACCAACCGTCCAGACAACATCGATCCTGCGCTGAGAAGACCTGGTCGATTCGATCGAGAGTTCTACTTCCCTCTTCCTGACGTAGAAGGCCGTCGATCCATTCTCGAGATTCACACCAAGGACTGGGGTCTTTCAGAACCTTTCAAGCAATCGCTTGCGGAGAACACCAAGGGTTATGGTGGTGCCGACCTCCGAGCACTTTGCACTGAGGCTGCTCTCAATGCCATCCAAAGAACGTACCCACAGATTTATTCCTCAAAAGACAAGCTTATCGTCAACCCCGAAAACATCAGCATTCATGCCACCGACTTCATGATCTCTATCAAGAAGATGGTGCCCTCTTCAGAAAGATCGGCTGGCACAGGCGCAGCTCCGCTGCCCAAGGGAATCGAGCCACTCTTGCGTGATCAATTTGACTCTATCAAGAAGGCTCTCGACGAGGTTCTTCCTCGGAAGAAAAAGCTCACAGCGCTTGAGGAGGCAATGTACGAGCAGTTTGACGACGAAGACCATGGTTTTGGACGCGAGGCCATGCATCAAGAATTTGAGCGATCTCGTGTGTTCCGCCCACGCTTCCTGATCCATGGTTTTGCCGGCATGGGCCAGAGCTACCTGTCATCTGCGCTTCTTCACTACTTCGAGGGTGTCCAAGTGCAAAACTTCGGCCTTCCCAATTTGCTCGCTGATGGACGGGTAAGTTCGTCTTTTCTCTTTTTGTGGTGTTTGTACTAACCTATTTGTAGCCCATGGAACAGGTCATCGTTGGCCTTTTTACGGAAGTCAAGAGACACAAGCCCAGTGTCATTTATATTCCTGGCATCGAGTCTTGGTACGCATCATTGCGGGATAGCTTGCCGTTCATGACCTTCAAGGCCATGCTAAAGTCGATTCCGCCAACGGATCCTATCTTGTTGCTGGCGACTTCGGAGTATGAGGCTGGCGAGAGCCTTTCTCAAGCCCTCGTCCGAGAGCTGTTTGCATTTTCTCGCAAGAACCGGCTTCAGATCGAGCGGCCCAAGCATGTGAGTACTCGCGCTTCTCTTTTCATAACTAGGCACTGACTAACATGACCAAGCCCAACCGACGCGAATACTTCTCTACAATCGTGGAGCATGTCCGCAAGAGCCCGGCCGAATTCCCTGACCCTGCCAACCGGAAGAAGAGGGTCTTGGATCAGCTCCCAGTCGCTCCGCCGCCACCGCCCAAGGTGCCTTCAAAGGAAGAAGTCAAGGCCATGCAGAAGCGCGATCATCAGCTTCTCAACATTCTTAAAGTGCAACTCCAACCAATCATGGACCAGATCAACAGAAAGTACAAAAAGTTCAGACAGCCCGTCATTCCACAGAGCCAACTCGACTACCTCTTCGCCGAGAACCAAATTAACTTCGTGCGCCCCGACCTGGCAGGGGTCGAGCCTCGGCCGTTCGAGATTGTGAAGGACAAATACGGCGATGATGTGCTTCGCGAAACGGCCACGGGCAAGACGTTCTCCAACTTGGAAACCACGACCATTGAGGAGCGTCTTTCAAACGGGTACTATTGCCGTCCCAAGGACTTCCTCAAAGACATAAAATCTCTTGCGAGGGACTCCAAGAACATCGGCGACAAGGAGCGCACGTTGAAGGCGAACGAACTTGTAAGCAATGTCGAGGTTGATGTCGCGACTATCGAAGGCAACACAGCCACCGTGGACTGGGAGTCTCTGTACCAGAGACAAGTCCAACGTGCCAGAGCTGCAGCCGAGAAGGAGAGAAAGAGGAAGGCTATGCAGTCCATCGTCGATCGCGTCCAAACTGACGCAGCCGGAGGTAATGACAGCGACTCTCAAGGACCTGTCACCTTGGGCGAGCGCATCCCTGGCTCTTCTCACGCCATGGCTCGCTTCCAGGTTATGAGCCCGGGGCCTAGTGGCGGCCCTGCTGTTCCTCCCCAGAGCAATGGAACGTCCAACCCATCACGGCAAAGCGACGTTCACATGAGCGGGGTCGATGATGACACGACCCAGGACAGCTCATCTATGCAGCCTCCTCAGTGGCCGGCACAGGGCAACCAAGCAACAGGCGCGATAACCGGCACAACCGTGGTTTCTCAAAAGTCAATGATCACCACGGTACCTCCTGGCATGTCTCCTTCAGATCTATTGAACGATGCGTCAACGACTAAGACGTCAGATCCGTCTCAAAGATCGTCAGGGGAGAAGTGGACACAAGGCACTAATGGTGTGCACGGCGAGCAGCAGAGCCAGGGCGATAATTCTCAGCTGCAAGACACGCAGATCCCAGCGGGCATGCAGGCTAGCCAGGCCACCTCGAGTGACGAAATTTGGCCACACTCCCAAGCCCAAGGCATCGCGCGCGGTGTCATCCGTCCCTCAATGGGCGGCCCAGGTAGCCAGAACTCATCACCCAACAAGTCTAGAAGCTCGGGGGATTCTAAGTCGCATGCCCCGACTCTGGTTAACATCCTGAACGACTCGCCAGGCGAAGAGATTAGAAATTCCGGCTCGTCCTTGTCGCAGCAACAGCCTGTCATTCACGAGGAACAGGTTGAGAATTTCCTTGACGAGTTGACCGAGGGGACATCGGGCTGCACCATTGAGCAGCTTGAGCAGATCAACCGCGAGTTGATGGACGAAATCTGGCGCACGAGGCATGAGTGGAACCGTATGAAGGTTCTTGGAGACCTCACCAAGGTGTTTAATGAGACGATAAGCGACATCGAAAACACCCAAGGGCTCTTCCAGCAGAGCCAGGAGGTGTAAAATGAGAGGAGATGGTGTTGCGAAGGGTTTGTAAAAATAGTACATTTTCTTGGTTTTTGAAAACATTCTTTCGGCATTGCGGAGAGAAGGATTTGGCGAGGGGGAAAAGGGGCACGGAAAGGGTCTACTAGTTTGCGAGCGACAGGACGACCTCATTTTCTTTGATAAAGTACACTATACCGAGAAGCACCGCATCCTGCCTGCGTAGCGCGGCAGGCAATAGACAATAGTTGCATCAACATCCCGTCTGGGGCAGTGACTTTTTTCTCTCATATCTTTGCTTTTGCACTACTGTATCTCTTACCTTCATCATCCTGCTCCTTAACGGTCAAGTCCGGGAGCTCTGCTGGCATGATCCTACGCGGACTTGATCCAGGCACGAGGGCATACTTGGAGAAGTCCGTCACACCCGCGTGGTTTCTTAAGAAGTCCTCGTCGAGCACAAGTTCGCCATTCACGACACTCGCTGGGGCTCGCACGATGGCAAGCACCGCATCTGAGAAGATGGTCGGTTTACGCAGGTCCTTGGCCTCGTCTGGATTTGACGCCTGAAACTTTTGAGTGGCTGCGGACTCGATTGCCTAGAAATTGCAGATAGGTGAATATCTTGTACACTGCTGAGAAGGACTTCCTTGCAATAAAGGAGACAACATACCACAGCGGGCCAGATGCTGGTGATGGCCATCCTGTCCAACCCCTGCCTCGCGAAATCCATGGCTAGACCTTTGGTCAAGACGCTCATGCCGACCTTGCCCATGGCATAAGCCGTCTTGCCGCGAAAGAAGCGGCTGTAGATGGGCGGGCTGACGACGACGATGCGCCCGGCGCCTTCGCGCTTGAGGTGCGGGAGGCAGGCGTGCAGGGTGAGGTAGAGGCCCTCTGGGTTGACGCGCTGCATGAGCTGGAAGCGTTTGGGGGGCGTGTCTTCCACGGAGGCCCACCAGATCGCGCCGGAGTTGTAGGCTAAGACGTCGAGACGGGAGTATATCTATGTGGTGATGGGTGAGTTTTGCGATTGCGCGGCGGTTGAGATTTAGCGGATCAGCAGACGTTCGGAATCATACCTGGATTGTCTGGTCGATAAGTCGCGTGATGCTGTCTTGATCACGGACGTCCACGGCTATGGGTGTTGCGTAGCCGCCGGCCTCATGGATTTCGCGGGCTACGGTGCTGATTGTCGAGGCTTGTGAATTTGGGTCTGGTGGGAAGGGTGAGACTTTGGAAGCGTCGCTTATTGACTTTGCGGCTACGACGACTGTGGGACTTGTTAGCGGTCGTGAGATGGCTGGATGAGTGCGAAGGAAAAGTACCGGCGTAGCCGTTCTTTGCAAGATCAATGGCAATTTGACGTCCTATGCCTCTTGATGCACCTACAACGAGGGCGACTTGTTTCGGTGAGACCATCTTGACAGCTAAAGTCTGAGCTTGGCAGGGGTTGCTATGGACGATGATGGATTGTGTGAATGGCACTGTCAACCGTTTTAACTGATGGGGTTTTGAAGGTCTTTCAAGATCAGAGCACAATAATTTTTCTCTTAGAATTGAGATTCAAACACTCTCGGCATTGATTACTTCGATTTGTCGTGTCGCATGTTGTCGGTTGTCAGTGATGTGTATTAGTGATCATCCACCCCGGAGCTAAGAGCTTCCCCAGATTCCAGCTGTGCCGAGGATGTAACCCCACTCTGGCGACTTCACCTCATGCCTACCACATCACCCGGTTATTTAACAACTTTCCCACTTTGAGCGATTGCGACATCGCGACTGTCGGGGTTATCCATCGCGTTCTCGAACTCATTCGTCCAGAAAGATCAAGCCTGTAGAAAAATAGTTCGGTCCTGCGTTGCCAAGATGGGCGGCAAAGTAGATGTGTACATTGATATCGGTGAGTCTCGGTGTGAAGCAGATTAGCCTGTGAGACTGACTGAGCAATCAAGCATCTCTGTACAGCTACATCGCATTCTACTACATCATCAAAAACCAGGGTGCTCTCGCCGCACATGGTGTCAAGCTAGAGTCTGTTCCCATCCCTCACCTACTGAACTCAGTCTCACCTCTCATCGCCTTTCAGCCTCCACCCCGTGCTTCTCGGCGGTATCAACGCGGCGTCCGGTACGTCGGCCCCCTTCCGTTCAGGTCTGCCTCCACTAAGATCGCCGCAGGAAACAAGCCGCCATGGACACTCCCCGCAAAGGCGAAATATGGCACTCATGACGCCCGGCGCTCCTCCATCCGCGTCGGAAAACCCGACATCACCACGCCCCCGGACTTCATGGACCGCAGCATGACGATCCTGCCCCTGCGCGCCCTGCACTTCATCAAAAAGACCTACCCAGACGCGACTTACCAGACAGCCTGGCACTGGCTCCTGCACTGCTTCTGGGAGCCGCCCAACCTGAACCTCACCAAGCCCGACGTCCTGGTCAAGGCGCTGGCCGACGCGCCGCAGGAGTACCCGCTACCCGCCGGAGCCAAGGCCAAGCTGTTCAGCGAGGCCGATGTAAAGAAGATCATGGAGGGCACCGCGACGCAGGAGATCAAGGACGCGGTCAAGGCCAAGACGCAAGAGGCGGTTGAAAGGGGCGCGTTCGGCGCCCCGTGGTTCTGGGCCGTGAACGACGAGGGTAAAGAGGAGCCCTTCTTTGGCAGCGACAGGTTCCATTTCTTGTATGAGTTCCTGGGCGTCCCGTTTCAGGATGTTGCGATAATGCCGCCCGGGTCGCAGAGGAGGGACACGAAACTGTGAAAGAGGGACAGCGAGAATGTAGTTATCTGTATGAGCAAGGGGTATCTCTTCTTCCAATCTGCCATAAACAAACGCCTGGCCAAAGCCACAATATCCATATAACAGTGTTCATACACGCCCCGAAATCCTCGCCCGCCGGGCTTCCTCCTCCCTCTTGGCCTCGCTGCGCGCCAAAAAGTCCTGCCTTCCAGCGTAAGACTCCTTGGACCGACCCGCCAGCTCCAACTCGTCCTTGAGACCCTCCTTGTCCACGTACCCGGCCCAGTCCATCTTGCTCTTCTCGACCGTGTTGAGCTTCTTTGCCTGCGCCTGCTTCTCGCGCGCCTTGATCCGTACCGTCATGCCCAGGTTCAAGTCGGACCGCTGGCCGACGATCTCAATGGTGGGTTCAAACGCCGAACGGAACGCCTTCTTCAGGACCCTCTTAGGCTCCTCCGGCTCGGCGGCGGCTTCGTCAGCGGGTGCGTCTTTACCCAGGGAGGCAAGGTAGAGCTTCGCCTCGGCCGAGTCGCGCGGCACGAGCTTCTCCTCCGTCTGCACTTTTCCGGCAAAATTGTAGGTTCTTTTGATGCGGATCATGTCTGAGGGCTCGGTGTCCATTGCGTCGGTTTGCTTTTGCGCGTCCGTGGCGCCGGAGGGCTGCGCGGTGGCAGCCGCTTCTCCGGCGGCCTGTTCTTGGCTCGGTTGCGTCGTCGTCTGCCCCGCGAGCATCTGCGCCCAAATCGCGTCGACGTCGACCGTCACCGGCCCGGTAGCAGCAGCCATCTTCCGCTCTACTTTTCTATTGCACCGAGTCAGCATTCGAGGACTACCGTTTGACTGAAAACAACGCGACAACTTACTCTGCAGCGCGCATGCTCCGCGTCTTCACTAGCCCTCCCTCGCCGCCCTCGTCATCCCCGTCTGGTGCTCCATCGCCGCCTCTCGCCTTCTTGCGCTTCTTCTTCGCCTTCTTTATCAGAGCTTCGTCGCCCGAGTTCTCGAATCCCGCATCATCTGCCTCATCGCCCGTGGCGGCGTCGCGTTTGCGCTTGCTGGTCTTCGCGGTTTCGGAGTCGGAGTCGGAAGAGTCCTCTGCGTCGGACTGGGCACCGCCATCGGCGCCGGCGGCGTCTTCGGGCGCGAAGTCAGAGTCTTGGGAGGACTCGTATTCCTCGTCGTCGATCGTTGGGTCTGGCGGCATCTTGAGGTTCTGGGGGTTCGGGGGTGTAAATGGTGATGTTTCTTGTCAGCCTGAAAGATTTGGTCGGTTGGTGTCGGCATTTGATTGACCGAGCTTTCGGTGAGGGTGGGTCGGTCAATGACCAATCACCGATTTGTGGTTAATTCGACGACTTATAATGGGCTACCCCCGACCTGCACTTGGATGACTCGGCATTTCTGCCATTGTGTCCCGAATTAGACTCGTCTTTCACCTTGAAGGCTGTCAAACTTTTGGGTTTTCTTCTAGGTGGGGGATCGGCAAGAGACCCATAGAATTTCCATTTAGCCGGCGCCGCCGTTTGTAGCTTCGAAACCGTCCTTGCCGACGAAGTTGTTGACTACATGTGAACCCTCACGACGGCATCTTTCTTCCGAGCACTGCTTGCGTTGACGTATTTGAAAATTTTGAGATTTAGTCTCTTCTGAGGTCTCAGAAAGTCTTTGAAACAAATCCAATCAGACGCAGCTTAATTGACTACTTCTGCATACCCTATCCCGGACCCCGCATCTCCTCGCTCCCGTTCGAGGGACTCTATGCCGGTCCCTGGTTCTTTAGTGGGGGTCTATATTAACCAAACATACTCTCCCAACCCTACAAATCATTGATTCTTCTTGTCTGCTACCTTTCATTTCATAGTCATGTCTCTGATGGTGCAACCTCTCACCGAAGCCCAAAAAGAGCACTTCCGGACCACCGGCTGGCTGAAGCTAAGCAATTGCTTCACCAAAGAGCAGGCAGAATGGGTGACAAGGGACGTCTGGACCCGTCTGGGCATGGACCCAAACGATAAGTCAACCTGGAAGCACCGTACAAATATGCCCTCCCACCGCACGTTCGACTGCTCCGAATTCGCACCGAAAGCCTGGGCCGCCATCTGCGAAGTCTGCGGCGGTGAAGACCGCATCGCACCCGACTCGAAACACTGGCGTGACTCCCTCATCGTGAATCTTGGCAGCCCCGAGTTCGAGGGGCAAGAACAGAACCCCAAGGACCTCGACAACTGGCATGTGGACGGCGACTTCTTCGTCCATTATCTCGACTCCGCGGAACAGGGCTTGCTCGTCATACCCCTCTTCACGGACATCGTCCCTGGCGGCGGCGGGACTGTGATTTGCCCCGAAGCGATTCCAAAGGTTGCGAAGCATTTGTACGAGCACCCGGACGGGGTCTCGCCACGGATGGTGCCACGGGGTCATCCCGACTTCGCCGCAGAGAGGAACCTAAACTGGTTCAACTCGCTTGCTGGGAGCTGCGGGGAGTTTGTCGAAGCTGTTGGGCAGGTTGGCGATGTGTACCTCTTCCATCCATTGATGCTGCACAGCGCGTCGAGAAATCAGCTGCGGAAGTTGCGTATCATCACAAACCCGCCCGTGTCTCTTAGAGAACCGCATCGGTTCCATCGACCGGACGGATCAAAGTTCAGCTTGGTGGAGCAGGCAACTTTGAGGGCTTTGGGGGCAGAGTCATTGCCTGAGTGGGGTATCACGGCGCCTAGGGAAAGAGTCATTCCGGAGAGGCTCAAAATTCAAGAGCGGATGAAGCAGGAAGAGTTGAAGAGGCTCCAGGCTAGTGCATAAAAGATTTGCACACACAATATAATAATTGACTTCACTCCGTATGCATTGTGCTCAACAAAGTCGAGTGCGGCTGAAACCAGACGCGATTGGTAGGAATGACTGTACGACAATCATAATCGGCAAAAATCAGTGGGTAAGACCAGAAATTTGACAACTTAAGGTACTATGTACAAATAATAGAGGACGAAGAGGTGAAGGTGCACTCAGGAGTCACCGCCTTACTGAAAACGCTATGGTAACTCCACCGGATCATGCGATGCTTCTTTAGGCCTCAACCGCGGTTCGATCTCACTCACAGGTGTCATATCACTAGGTGAAGAGCCATACATCTCAGCAGGGCCCTTCTGATCATGAACCACGACCGGTTGATCTAATATAACAGCCTTTGCTTTCCTCCGTCTCAGGTAGAAAAAGACCAACGCGCCAATGCCAGCCAGCGCTGCCACAGAACAACCCAAACCGATGCCTACCTTGGCTCCCGTTGAAAGAACAGCAGACCCTTCTTCCTGGCCGTCATTGCTCGACACGCCAGACTGCACGGGAGGTTCTACGGTAGTGGTGCCGTTTGCCTCGTCTTCGGTCAAGGCCTTCCAAGCTCCCTTCCACGACTGTTCCCAATCATTGCTGCCACTTTTGATGGAAACATCATCTTCGTTAATCTCAATGACGCTTGGAGACAGCTGAATGTTGGGCCCTGGCGCCTGACCAAGCCACCACTTAGACTGCCCCCAATTCGCAGCGAGAAACGCGTCCTGGAGGAACGCTCGGCCTAAGTTGTATGTGCCAGGGCCACCAGTAAAGCAGGGAAAATATTGCATCGGAGAATCGACGAGGGGTTCGGAAAGCGTCAAGTTGAGATGGTAAAATGGCACACGGACCGTAGTCGTCTTCGTATTTGAGTCGGAGAGGAAGGTGAAAGATAACGCTGATGCTGACGAAACAATTTGGCGATATTTTGTAGACTCGGTGTCCCAGATATACAATCCAAGATCGGCGTTGAAGCTAACCGGGAGATTTGCAGCAATATTGTCGCAGGTTGATCTTGGTAAAGTAAGGTAAGGGGAACATCCATCAACAGCCACCGGGAGCCCGTTGGCGATAGAGGTGTTCCCTGCGGCTAAGAGACCACTCTTGGCGGTGAAGTCGAATGGCGAAGCCCCTTCGATGACATCAATAGCGATGTCTTTGAGAGTTATTGGACTTCGAACAAAGTCCTCGTCTGCCACCAAAACGTCGCCGATCAGTCTGTTCTGATCGTATCCACCGAACCAGAGAGATCCCGCCATCTGCGAAGAGACCGATCCAATATGCATGCTGAACGAGTTGGAAGGTATTTTGTCGTTATACCAGAGCGCACCAGGTATCAGGCTGGCATTAATCGGATACGACGATGTTGTGAAGGATTGATTGACAGTGGCCGCAGCCCCAGTGCCTAAGCACCCAACAAAAGCAGGATACCATGTACCGCCGGGATACGCGATCATCTGGCTTTCCACTAGTGTCAAACTGACATTCTCGACCTGATGTGTCGGTCCAGAAGTTGCGGCTGACTTCAACGCCATTGAATCCACCCAGGAGGTAGGCAAGGTGCCACGAACGTCCATCCCAGCCATCCATTCGTACAGCGGTGGTTTGTACTGTATTCCAGACGCAGATCCGGTACCATCTTGGAAAGCTTGCGCTCGATTATACGTCCCTGCTTTCGATGCGTAGCAACCATTGGAGCTATTGAGTTTGCAGTAATCCGTGGATATGACGAGGGACTGGAATGTGTGTCCTGGATACAGAGCGACCTTTGAGTTTTCGCCGACGTTGACCTCGACTGCTTGCCACGGGCCATCGGGACCGAATGTTGCTGATGACCATGTCGCTTCGAACGGGGCCGAACTGGCCGCTTGAGTGAGCGTAGTCCAGTGATGTATCAGCCAGAAATAAAAGGCCGCAGATGAGCCTCGGAAACTAACTTTCATGACTAGAGGTTGAATAAATTTCGACAAACATGAAGAACACAATTGCATGGAAGAGAGGGGGAAACAAGAGAGAGAAGGGGATGAACGTAACATGGCACACCAACAGCACGATTTGGCTGTGCCTCACTCTTTTCCCAAAAGGACACAAGATCCATGACAAATGCGAAGAACAACGCCCATGAAATTGTCAAGCACGGTGGGTATTCTCCAACTTGCCCTGCTTTTCAAGTTGTCGGAAGACGCGGGTTAGCCTTCGTCACCGTGCCACATCGTCAGTGATCACTGCAATTGGTTAGTTTTCGTCGGGAATTCCACTGAAAGTACTACCAACACGATTTGAAGTCTGGGAGGCTGCTGCTCTCATGCTTGGCAGCATGCACGTTAAATGAGGTCCAATCATGGCAGGACTCACACCAAGGAAAGCTGTATCAACTTGACATTTCGCACTCAACGCCAACATAGCAGTTTCTCACTCCTTTGGTGACACAGATTCTGGCATTAGAGAATTTAGTTTGCCCAAGAAAGACAACGCTCAAATTGAGTAGGTACTGAACACAATCCCGTTTTTTTGATGCTTGAAGCAAGTGCCAAGGAGACCAACGGCTGTCTACCTGAATTCAGACACAACCCCTTGCTTCATGATTCCACTCTTTACATTACGTGACAGGGTTATTGCGGCACAGAAGGAGGTCATTCGCAAGTTCAGTTGTGTCATCGAGGTTGAGGAGTAATCGCATCACCGGTCCTCTTTCACCAGTCCTGTCCAAGACCACTAACAAATTCATGCATCGATTCGAATTATACGAAGGTTCAAACTTGCAGCATAGTAGAACGACACGACTTACAAGTGGTGAGGCGCGCGCCAGAGCGGAGCGGCGCAGTCAGGGGGTTGCATCTTCAAGCGGCAAATCAACGTTTCTGATTGGGTCCGAGCACCAACAAGAGATGCAGCACCCCAGAACCAACGACATAACTACGAAGCGTCCTGCAAACAGGAGAAGGCTGGGCCATTTTTATTCTCTCCTAATCAACATTCTGCTTCCTGTGGGCCAGACTTGCAGAGCCTTCAAGCATCAGTTCCACGACGCAAACGATTCGCACGGCGCTTGATGCCCTCACTGTACTAGCTGCTCGCAACCACCAACATGAGCACTATTTTCAGTCATAGGCGGATCTCCATAGCGGGATTCTGGAGAAGGCAAAACGTCTCGGCACGTTTGTGCGTCACCGGATTCCTTAGTCTGGTGCTCCTTGTCTCGGACTCTCGCGGATGGGCTCTTGACCCCGTCTGGTACGAATCTTCTTTGGCCGAAAATGATTCGACATGTTCTGTCATCCGGCCAATCATTCAATTGACTGGGAGTGTATTGAATACTTTACGCATCAACATCTCAAAACGCGCTGCTTTTGAGCTCGTCGCCCGCCTTGCCGCCTACGCCATAACCATCTACCACATCTCTGCGATTGCCCATCTAATCCATAACAATGTACGTCCGGGCTTTCTCGGCAATACGACAGTACCCTGGAGCGATATGAAGAGAGAAACCCCTCACAGAAATCTTGGAACACGCAGAGATGTGTCTTCCACTTCATTGTCCTGGATTGTCATCTTATCTATCTTTGGCGTATTCTCATCAGCACTATGGACTAGCGCAATAATGCCGACAAAAAATACTGCGGTTGTTGCAGGCAACATTTCCATCCCATCCTTCGCAAACACGACGTTCATAAAGAACTACCTGATCGACACGAATGACGAAACGTCCACTTCTTCCATCAGCCCCAACCTTTTGAAATCTTTGATTGGATTCAAGCCATCTGCTTCAAGGCAACCGAAGCTCGATAACACAGACTATTTCTTTGAGGGAAGGACGTACGGAGTTGCCTCCTCAGTGGGCATCGCAGACAACGGCCTCAAGAAGTCGGTCCGGAAATACCGGTTTGAGGAGGTCGGCTACCTCTCTCAGGTGAAGTGTCTGTACAACAGCAGCACGAACTTCCGGATTGGGAAAGAATATCCTCATAGAACTTTTGCCGTCACTGGGTTCCTACCCGACTCTGTGGGGAGTGCTCAATGGTCTGAGTACATCGGCGCGACTTCAGACTCCATCGTCGCCATTGGTGTCGCCGACAGCCCTCAGTCACCTCGACGATATATCTCCATCGCTGCAGGAGAAAAGTACCGAGTTTTGAACACCACGCAGTGCACAGTGGAATTTGTTCCTACATTGTTCCAGGTAACGGTCGATGTCAAAGATAAGAGCGTCGGTGTCGTTCCAATGAGCGGTGTTGACGTTCAAGACATCGATCCAGAGCGCATCTTGACGCGAAGCGCCGTCAGAGAGCTTGACTCGATGTCAAACAGCTTGCAGAGCTTCTATGGTTCTGTACTTGGAGATGCCCTTCTCTCGAGCATTGCTGCCTGGAATAGTTCGTTTAACGCACAGGGTCTGGTATCAGAACGGGTTGCGACATTGTCTGGACTGGAAGACGCCTTTGCCTTCATGACCGATTCAATACTAGCGGGCTATGGACAGATTCAACTGGGTCACTTCTCCAAGCCAACAACAGCAGAAGTCGAGGTTGATGTTTATGTACTGGGAAAGAAGGCGTTCACTAGCGTAGCTGTGGTGATCAACGCCATGATCACTGTTGCATTTTACTTTTACATTCCTTCGTAAGAACTTCAAAAACTAAAACAAGATCACGCAAACTTTGTAAATCGGTTTCTCTGCGCTTTCCAATCACAGTATTATGTGAACCTTTCTGTTTTATCCTTTTTATTCTTCATCTCCCCGGTACATGTTGCAATCTTCGACTTTGTCGCTTGCGACGTGAGACATGTCAAATAAATCTGTTTCTGCGCAGCGCAAGAGGTACTAGGAGGTCTCCGAAAATGCTGTCGTCAACTGGCTGGATGCTATCTAGTTGGTAGAAGCCACGGCAATGCTGCGCATGACTACCTAAAAAGACCGGTCGCACTTGTTTCATGTGAGGGCTGCAGATGGATGCCGCGGAAAGGCATACTTTAGGCTAAAATGACGGCAGGGTCATGTTGCGGACTGAGGGAAATATATTGTCGTCCGTACGAGTGTGTCCGAGGCACTCGCAGTCCAAATACGAGAAGTTTACAGCAACGCATGTTGAACGTCGTCTTGCAATTTCATTTCTGAAGGTTAAATAAATGAAGACACTTACTCGATCGGAGTATAAGAGTATAAGTTTCCAACGACGTCTAAAGTATGACCATGATATGTCATCCCATCGTTTCTAGACTTTCTTTTAGTGCTGCAGCTGTGAAGACATGTTCGTCTCAATTTTCCTCAGGCCCCTTTTCGCTGTCGCTCTGGCTCGTTTAGCTGGAGGACAACTTGTGGAAAGAGATGGTCCGCAGCCGTTCGGCTTTTTCGACAACAACGTTATCTACCAGCCCGAAGATGGGAAATCGGCCTTGTATCCCCGCTTCGTCGAACTGAAAGATGGCACACTTCTGGTCACATCTTCATTGAGTGGCTACTCAACACCATTCTTCCCTGTTTTCGAGAGCAATGATGGCGGTGCAAGTTGGTCTTGGATTTCCAACATCACCGACCAGGTCAATGGTTGGGGTCTCAGCGCTCAGCCTGCGTTAACCGAGTTGACACAGCCTCTTGGTGGCTACCCAGCTGGCACAATTCTTGCTACAGGGAATAGTTGGTCAGACAATGGCACTCGCTTCGACATATACGCCAGCACAGATGGAGCAAAGACTTGGGAATTTGTTAGCCTCGCAGCTGAGGGTGGCAGGCCGAACACCACCAATGGAGCAGACCCCGTGTGGGAACCGTACTTGCTGTAAGCAGTCTTTCACCTCACCAAACACGCCAATTTGGACGCAGTCTTGTGGGCTTATTCCCTTTCCTTGAGCTCACATGAATTATAGCGTATACAACAACTCTTTGGTCTGCTACTACAGCGACCAGCGTGACCCCCTGCACGGCCAGAAGTTGGCGCACCAAAGGTCATTCGACTTGCGACACTGGGAGCCTATTGTCAACGATGTCGCTTATGCTGAATACGCTCGACGCCCTGGTATGACGGTGGTGACGTACGTGCAGCCCATCGACAGCTGGGTGCTGGTGTACGAGTTTCCAGGAGCTCCGAATATCACTGGCGCCGAGTATCCCATCTACTGCACGCAGCCCACTTGAGTTTGATGCCGCGCCACATCACCTTCTTGACACGCGGCGCTTTGGTTCAGCTGCGGCGGCCAGCGCGTCTCCGTACGTAACTTGGTCGCCTGAACCGGCGCCCAACGGTACTATCATCGTCTCCGACGCCGATCATTCAGCAGTTTTCACGAATACGGCGCTCGGCGATGAGGGATTTTGGCAGATCAACAACGTGTCACAGCCGAGCTCATACAGCCGCGCAGTGCACGTTTTTCAGAAACAGCCTGATAGACTCATGATCCTAGGGGCCTCAGTCTTCAACCAGCAACCAGGCGTCAAATATCCGCTCAGCCTTAGTGTCGTCAGTTTGAACAAGACACTCCAGAACTCGTGGCCGCTTACTGAGTGATTGCGGATCAATGAGAAGCGTTCAGCAGCGCGTCTGCATGAATAGCGTTGTGGAAGTCGTTAGGATGTAGCGCCATACGAGTAGAGACATGGTTACAGAATTGAATTTTAGAACCACCGAATGCTTATTCAGGAGCACTGCATGTATGATATGACCGTTATGGTATGAGGCGAAAAAGTTCCAATCAAGAAAGCCAAAAAGGTAAATAAGTGAGGTAGCCAGGGGTTAGGGTTAGGGCCTGATCGTACATGTCTATTCAGGTACTACTAGTGCATGTAGTAAGTTTGATTGAGTATCGTCGATCCTTTAAAGAGTTCCGTTATCTAGCCTATGGACTTTCATAGGCTCTTATCTCGATAGTCTTGAGATCAGTACCAATTACTCAAATCCAGCCAAATTTTGTTAAGATCAGAGGCGGCCCAACATGTGTGTGATGAGACCTTTTGAAAGCTGGCCATTGGTCTCAACCAAGTCCCGAAAACTCTGCCATGTCCACAGAATATCTATCTTGCAAGCCGCGTACAGAGTGACGAGGTGTCTCAGCGGCTCCTCGTTATCCTGCTGATGCTTCGTAGCTTTGTAGGTATACTTGACAAGATCTGCGATATCGCCGATGGCTTCGTCATTGATCTCATCTAGGAGAAGCTCCTCAAGGGCCACCCTTAGCTTGCGCAGCGACAGTTCCTGTAGACTTTCGATGCCGTGCTTTCTAGCAAAAACATACATTTCCGCGTTGGATAGGAAAAGGTCGGTATGGTCGTCCCTCCCATCAACAAATTCTTCCGGCTGGGTCTGTTCCGGGTGCAGGTCCAAAAACTGACTCCATGGCCTTTTGCGATTGCGCCGTCGCAGATTCGGCTGGCGTTGTACAGGTTGATCCAATGATAAATCTGTAGACTGGGACAAAGTTTCTGATACCGCAGACACGGAGCCTTCTTGATCAGGGGTTCCATATTCCATCATGCCATGACGAGGGACAACTTTTGCCTCCTTGTAGTCACCCGTGTAGATGTAGCTTACGAAGCGACCGAAGATCGCCTCGTCAACATCTCCCCAATGGACCGAGCCATAGTTTTGTTCCGTTGCATGTTCCACGACGAGCTTTTCTAGTGACGGAGACTGAGCTGCAAGAAGCTCACTGTGAACGTAGAACACGGTGCCTGCGCAGCCGATTTTGAATGTGACGGGTATAGACTGGGTGGAGCTGTCGTAACATGGCGATTAGCATGAAGAATCAAGATGATTCAGGATCTTACCTTGGGAGTGATGTAGAAGACATTTTGTCGAAATCACTACATCCGTTCCTATTGTTTGAGACTCGGTGGCTGCGTGTTGAGTTGAGTCGTAAGAGGAATCAGGGAAGTCATGGCGCTTAAATAGTCATAAAATCATTTAGGCTGCAACCAAGCCCTATGGCAAGATTCTCTCAAGGTTTTAAATTCTCTCAAGGTTTTCAATTCTTGCAATGGGCTTGAGCTTAGAAATCGTAAATGTTAACCTTATCGTCTTATGTTAAGCCTCTGCGGGGCTGATAAAAAGGTCCTCAGGAACCCAAGGTTGTTTACATTACAGAACAAAGGTGCCGGGCGCGTGACCAAGACTGTGTCTGAATGCTTGGAAACAAGCTCACAGCACCACGGGGCCGGTTTAGACGTGGACCTCATGGCTGGACTGTGTGATCAGCATCTTGCCGTCAAAATATTTCGAATATTGGGTTTCTTCAACAACCAAAAACTATGGATATCGGCGCGGAAGGCCGTCCCCGAGGCAGATATCAGAAGACGGCCAACCACACCAACCGCCGGAAGCGAATCCCTCGGAGGGACAGATCCAAAAGAGTGAATGCAATATGCTGTTGGAACTGAAATCTACAGCAAACTGCAGCAGTGGAGCTCTGCTGCAAGTCCGATTGGGGCGGGACGCCGTCCCGGCCGCTAAGGAACGACGTCGAGGCCAACAACGGCAAGTGGGGCCGTGGCATACGAACCGCCTGCCGCATATTGAAGTGGATAGGTTCAAACGAGGATAGCCCTGCGAAGAGGGGTGTCCCAGCCCTTCCCTCACGTTGCTCCCAGATAAAAGGCAAGCCTGCGCTTTTCTAGCGCGAGCGGGAACTAATGGTGTTTAGACGAAATCCAGGTACGCGAAAGTCAAAATGACCGATCAACAACCGCAAACCGAGGCCGACGCCTCTGCGGCCTCTACTGCGGCCCCTACCACGGCGGCTGCCCCCACTGCTCCTTCTACTGCTTCCACAACTGCTCCCACGGCTTCCACGTCGACTGCTCCCACAGCCGATCCATCGACGCCGATCGCTGCTGTAGCGGCGGCCCAGTCACCTGTGGAGTCTGAGTCTGAACCTGAGCTTGTACCCGATGTGCCGGGTCCGATCGAACCAGATGCAGACGGTGTCTCGATCGACGGTTACTCCACGACCGATGACTCGCAGGCCTCGCTCCGCCCCACGATTCTCGACTACCGCCGTGAGAACGGCCGTACGTACCACCGCCTTAGTGATGGCAAGTACATTTTGCCAAACGATGATCTGGAGCAGGAGCGCCTCGACATCGTCAACCATGTCTGGATGGTCACTCTCGACAACAGATTCTGTATGTGCCCGAAGAACGAGGGCGCTAAGCGCGTCCTGGATCTTGGAACTGGCACCGGTATATGGGCCCTCGACTACGCCGACGCTTTCCCTGACGCCGAGGTTATTGGCGTAGACCTCAGCCCTATCCAGCCCGGCTATGTTCCCCCGAACTGTATGTTCGAGATTGATGATGTTGAGAAGGAGTGGACTTGGACTAAGCCCTTCGACTTTATCCTCGCGCGCAACATGATCGGCTGCTTCTCCGATTGGGAAGCAGCTATTGAGCAGGCCTACAACCACCTTGAGCCCGGTGGCTGGATGGAGATCCAGGATAGCGAGTGGCCTGCAGTCTGTGACGATGGAAGCATGACCGAGGACATGGCCATCTACAAGTACACGACAATGGGCGCCGAGGCGTGTGAGGAGATCGGTCGCACGATCAGCAAGACGCACACCTTCGATCGGCTCATGAGGGAGGCTGGCTTCGAAGATGTGGTCAAGATCCCTCTCAAGTTCCCCATCTCGCCGTGGCCTAAAGACAGGCGCTTGAAGGAGATTGGTCTGTGGACGCAAGCATCGCTTTTGCCTGGTTTGGAGGGCCTGGCACTGGCCAACTTCACTCGCACTTTGGGCTGGACTAGAGAGGAAACGTTAGTTCTGTGCGCGCAGACCAGAAGGGATATCCAGAACCCGAAGATTCATGCCTACTGGAACGGCTACGTCATTTACGGACGCAAGCCTCTGAAGGCAGACAAGAAGGAAGATGCGCAGCACTAGTTGGGAATCATGGTGTCTGGCTGCTCACGGCTAGCCCTGCCTCATGGTAGATGTATATCTGATAAACCCGTACAAACTCGGAGAGCAAGCATGAAGATGCTTTTGACGCAGGGAGAGGGGGTTATCTTTTTTATTTTGTCCTGTTCAACATAATTGTCTTAGGTCACCTTGGTTAGCTTTCACATAATACTATGGCTCTTTACTTAAGACATTCTTTCTTCTTCACGCTAAGACACCCTAGAGTAACTTGCCAAATGCTTATCTCGGCTCAGATGTAGAGCTGTTAAAAGCTAGCTTTCTGAAAGCACAGACTTGATTGAGAATTGTAGTTTTGAAAAACCTATCTAGCATTCGATATGATACAGCCTCATATTCCTCCTAGATAAGACACAAACCCTCCTCTCAATTCACAAACACTGAAAACCCGGAGGCAACAAGAATGGTCCAGTTGGCTGCCGGTCGTAGCTTAGTTGTCAAAACATAAGAGTTGGCATCATTTAGCAGCAGAACCAGCATAGCTTAGAATGAGTCGCAGTGGAATTCGACCGTTTAAAAGCGACTGCATCTTCTTTTTCGCTAGCAATCAACGGCTCAGCTCTCTACCAAGCCGAACTCTGTAATTAGGTCATGCTGGAGTGCATGGCAGCAAGGCGTGTAGAGGGCCGAGAACATGGCCACAACCGCAGCAGTTTGACGCCATCAAGGTCGTCTTATCATCACACAAAAAGATCAACGTTGTAGTAAGGCCGCCCAAAGCAGCAAACCGCCATTCAATTATAACAGCACCGACCCTAAGTCCTGCTAGCTGTACAGTTCAATCTGACCCAAACGGGCTTCTTCCATTTCCATCATCATACACTCCCGTCCTGTCTAATCTCCTCTCCGTCCCCTCTTGACGGGCGGCGGACTTCTCGATCTCGATATCGAGTCGCTGTGTCTCCTCCGCTTCACACCGGCCGGGCTCGATCGCACCGGCGAATCCCTTCTCGGTGCAGGCTGTCTTCTGGGCGGCGGGCTCCGTGACCTCGAGTAAGAATCTCGGCGGCCATTTCGCGCCCTCGGCGGCGGAGAGGCGCTACCGCGGGGTGGCGGGGACCGACTATCTCTGGGTCCTCTGCGGTCAACTGGTGAACGGGATCTTGAGTCCACCGAAGACCCGCGACTCGGGGACCGGCTGGGCGAGCGGCTTGGTGAACGGCTGCCGTAGCGGGCGCGTTTCCGCGGCGCGCTGCTCACCGATGAGCTGTTTCGCCTGACGGCCCG